AAAAAAAAAAAAAAAAAGGTTTTCTTCAGGAGCCCTTTGTTACCTTATTTTAAGTTGAAAGCCTTAGGATAAAAACAGTGTGGATTTTGTACTCATACTTTTGATGCCAGAGAACCTGCTTCATCTTGTTTTTGTATATATTTGAGTGATTTTAAACTTTGGTGTATCTCAGAATTATTGCTGGAAAAGTTTGCCCAAAATTCAGACTTTTAGGAATAAAGCCTAGAATATGCATTTTAATAAGCTTCTTAGTGGTTTGCAAACAGCAGCTTGAAGAAGACATTCATTTCCATTTCCATAGTTATTCTTGTTACCAAGCAATCCTGAGCTGCTGGCACATTTTGTATTCTTTGAGTAAAAATTTCAGTTGAAGATAACTATTTGTTGATTGCTTAATTTATCTGTTTATTTGGAAGTCACATTTGTTGTCCACTGTTGGAAATAGTTCCTTCTATTGAAGCACCAGTTCTAGTTATATTCTTCAGAAATAACAGTTTTCATCTTAGCGCTCTTATTCCTGAGGTTATATTTAATTTTTCTCTTTCTTTCTTTCTTTCTTTCTTTCTTTCTTTCTTTCTTTCTTTCTTTCTTTTTCTCTCTCTCTTTCTTTTCTTTCTTTCTTTTTTTGTCGTCTTAAAAATTTTGCTTAGTCTCAGAAGACAAGATGCAGCCACTTACCAAAACAATAAAGAAATCTCATGCTCCCAATCAAGTTGAAGAAAATGACACTGTTTTTGTAAGACTTCTCAAGACATCAGGACTTATTCTTAAAACTGGACAGAATCAGAATCAACTAGGTAACTTTTTGTTATTTTATAAGTATTAACTTATTGTTATATGCTCTACCACTTGAGCCACAGTGCCACTTCTGGCCTTTTCTATTTATTTGGTACTGAGGAATTGAACCCAGGGCTTCATGCATGCTAGGCAAGCACTCTATCACTAAGTCACTTTCCCAGACCAATCACCAATATTTTTGTTTCTGTTGGTACTGGAGCTTGAACTCAGAACCTTTACATTGTCTCAACTTTTTTTTTTTTTGTTTTTTTGCCGCTCCTGGGGCTTGAACTTGGGACTTGGGCTCTGTCCCTGAGCCTCTTTGTGCTCAAGGTAGTGTTCTACCACTTGAGCAACAGTGACACTGTTGGCTCTTTCTGAGTAGTTTATTGGCTATAAGAGTCTTATGGACTTTCCTGCCTGAGCTGATTTTGAGCCATGCATAATCCTTGTATCTCAGCCTCCTGAGTAGCTAAGATTACAGGTGTGAGCCACTGGTGTCCAGCTTGTGGCAGGTGTTTTTATGAATGCTTAGTGATCAATGGAGATGTTCCTCAGTGGTATATTGCCAGCCTTGAGTGAAAAAGTTACAGAAGCAGGGCCTAGCCTTGAGTTCAAGTCTCATACAAGCACCAAAAAGAGGGAGAAAGAAGAAAGTTTAGTGCCTGTCTTCTATCAAAACTAAACCTTTTACTGAGGGTTTAGATGTTTGAGCTCTAAAATTAAGTTGAAAGTTTCAGTGGTGTCATCAGAAATGTAATTTTGTTGTTGTTGTTGTTGGTCATGGGGTTTGAACTCAGGGCCTAGCTTCTTCACTCAAGGTGAGTGCTCTACCACTTTGAGCCACAGTGCAGCTTCCAGTTTTCTGATGGTTAACTGAATATAAGAGTCTTGCAAGCCGAGCGCCGGTGGCTCATGCCTGTATTCCTAGCTACTCAGGAAGCTGAGATCTGAGGATCTCGGTTCAAAGCCAGTCTGGGCAGGAAAGTCTGTAAGATTCTTATCTCCAATAAACCACTAGAAAACTGGAAATGGCTCTGTGGCTCAAGCGGTAGAGCGCTTGCCTTGAGGTGAAGAGCACAAGGACAGCGCCCAAGCCCAGAGTTCAAGCCCCATGACAAAAAAAAAAAAAGTCTCGCAGTGCCAGCACCTGTGGCTCATGCCTATAATCGTAGCTGCTCAGAAGGCTGAGATCTGAGGATTGTGGTTCAAAGCCAGCCCTGGCAGGAAATGTGTCAGATTCTCATCTTCAATTAACATCCAGAAAACCGGCAGTGACACTGTGACTTAAAGTTCTTGAGTTCTAGCTTTAAGTGAAGAAACTTAGAGACAGTGCCCAGGCTTTGAGTTCAAGCACCACAACTGACAAAAAAAAGAAAAAAGAAAAAAAGAGTCTCGCAGACTTTCCTGCTTGGGCTGGTTTTGAACAAACTTAACCCTCACTCTAGCTATGATTACAGGCATGAGCCACTGGCACCCAGCTAGAAATGTAAATATATATGGAAGAAAACTGGTAGATGTTACAGTCTGGTGACCAGCTATCCTTCTTTCCTCATAGCTGTGGATCAAATAGTTTTTCAAAAGAAGCTCTTTCAGACCCTGAGGAAACATCCTTCTTATCCCAAAGTATGTATTTTCTTCATGCAGTCCTCTGTAATCAGGAATTTAAAGCCCCTGGGAGAAAGTTGAACAAGTTAGAATCATTTCTAGGTGACAGTACATGTTACACTAAAAATTGTATCCTTCTTTCCCCTCTCTCTCTTTTTAATGACAAAGCAAGGAGTTTAATAGAGAGGAAATGGTGGGCCTGAGCTAGAGGGCTCAAGAGCAGTCTTATCTTTTTCCTGTTTATTTTTTCATTCCACTTTACTTTTAAAATCTGTTCATTAAGGTAATAGAAGAATTTGTCAAGGGCCTGGAGTCTTACATTGAGGACAGTGAAAGTTTCAGGAACTGCCTTTTATCGTGTGAACGTCTGCAGGATGAAGAAGCCAGGTGTGGAGAGGCGGCACGCAGTGACCCATTCTGTTTCAGTAATTGAGTTGGGATGGGAAAATTCAACTTTTTACCATTTCACTTTTGACTTATGATCTCTGTTCCTCAAAGATTAAGCCTAACTTTAAAATGATTAAATTTGTAGCTCTAAGTCAAGAACTAGAAGAATTTTTTTTTTTTTTGGGTCCGATCATGGGGCCTGAACTCTGGGCCTGGGCACTGTCCCTCAGCTCTTCAGCTCAAGGCTAGCACTCTACCACTTGAGCCACAGCGCCACTTCCGGCTTTTTTCTTTTTGCTTATGTGGTGCTGAGGAATCGAACCCAGGGCCTCATGCATGCAAGGCAAGAGCTCTACCACTGAGCCACCTTCCCAGCCCAAGAATTTTTTTTTCAATAGCATGTCTTAACCTATTGATAGAATTTCAGGTCTCTGCTTCTTCCTCTTGTTAGTGTTTCTTGTCTAACAAGATGACACTGAACATAACCTTTAAGGGCTGTATATTAAGTTTATGGACAAAAGATCATTACAAACATTAGAACAGGGAAAATTTGGAACCACCTATCTCTTTTTTACAGCATGAGTACATCTTATTCTAAGAGCCTCATTAAACTACTTCTGGGTATTGACATATTACAGGTAAGACTGCCATTTGCTTTGTGAATATTTGATGGATGGGGTTTGGTGTGTACCCAACATAAGTGACTGGGTCACAGGGTAGAGGCAGGCTCATTGGAGAGTTTGGATGTTTTTTTTGTTTGTTTAGCGGGTTGTGGGGCCTGAACTCTGGGACTGGGTGCTGTCCGTCAGTTCTTCAGCTCAATGCTAGCGCTCTACCACTTGAGCCACAGTGCCACTTCTGGCTTTTTCTGCTTATGAGGTGCTGAGCAATTGAACCCAGGGCCTCATGTATGCAAGACAAGCACTCTACCACTGAGCCACCTTCCCATCCCCTATGTGAAGATTCTTATAACAGGATTTTTTGTGTATTTTGAGTCCATCTAATGCCTAACTACTATGTCTTCTTTTTTAGCCTGCTATTATTAAAACTTTATTTGAAAAGTTACCAGAATTTCTTTTTGAAAAGTAAGTGGAGCTGTTTTCAAATATTCAAATGCTATTCTGAAAAGCTTGCTTAAAATATTGTTAGTCTCCTAGAGTCATATGTTTACTATGGTGCCAGGCTCATGTGTGACTACTGCAAGTTTATTGGGGTGTCTATTTGTGTAATTTCATCTCTTAATGATTTCATAAAGCTAAAAAATATTGTTAAAATTAAGTAGCAAATTAAGTAGTACATAGGTTTATATATATGCACAGATGAGCCTTAGAAGATACATGGTACACTGGCAATAATAGGTATTTCCAAGGGGGGATTGACTGACTGGAGTGAGATATTTGCTGAACACTGTTCTTTCCTTTTCATTCTATTTTCTGTACTGGATTGGATTGTGTGTGTTTGTTTGTTTATAAGGTACTCTTGTTTATATGAACTCAGGACCTCTTGTTTGCTTGGCAGACAACCACTTGAGCTGTACCCCCATCTCCTTTTGCTTTATTTTTAGGATAATGTCTTGTTTTATGCCTGGATCAGAAGTGTTTGTAGTACTACTTTATGCCTGGATCAGGAGTGGCTGTGGTACTATTTTATGCTTACTACATACAGAAAATGATAGGTTCATGCCACCAAGCCCAACTATTGGTTTTGCTGGTTCCAGGGTTGGAACTCAGAGCCTTATACTTGTTTGGCTTGCTAGCTTAGCTTGTATTCTACCACTTGAGCCAGGCCTTCAGTACAACTTTTTGCTGGCTAATTGTAGATTTTGTCTCATGGACTTTTCTGCTTGGGTTGTCTTCAAACCATGATTCTTCAAATCTCAGCCTCTTGATTAGCCTAGTAATGTATGTGTACTCTACATATTGTTAAAAATTATGGTCAGGGAAAAAAGAAACAGCTTAATAGAAAGTACACAAAGATCATGAATAGAGTCCTCACAAATATAAGAACATCAACAATTAACATGTTCAGTTTTGCTAGCTAATACAGAAAAACTTAAAAGAATTGCATTTTTTCTACTGTCAGTCTTCTTTGCATATAATCCTCACCTATTGCTAATAAAGATGCAAAGCAGTTACTTATTCTGAAAAACAATAGGTTTTATGTATCTAAGCTTTAGTTTTAAGGCTGGGGATATAGCTCAGTGGTGCTTTGCATCTCTAAGGCCCTAGGTTTGATCCAAAGCACTACCAAATGAAAAAGTTTGGTGAGGTGCCAGTGACTCCTGCCTATAATCCTAGCTACTTAGGAGCTGAGATCTGAGGATCATGGTTTGAAGCCAGTCTGGGCAGGAAAGTCCATGAGACTTTTTTTTGTGTGTGTGCTGGTTTTGGGGTTTGAGTTTAGTGCCTTGTGATGGCTAGGCAAGCTCTCTTATCATTTGAGCTACACTCTTAAATTCTTTTTGCTGTAGGTTTAAAAAATGTTTTATTTTTATAAAGGTGATGTACAGAGGGGTTATGTAAGTCAGGTAAAGAGTTTCTTTCTTTCTTTCTTTCTTTTTGTCGGTCATGCTCTTCAGCTGAAGGCTAGCACCCTACCACTTGAGCCACAGTGCCACTTCCGGCTTTTTTCATTTTGCTTATGTGGTGCTGGGGAATCAAACCCAGGGCCTCATGCATGCAAGGCAAGTGCTCTACCACTGAGCCACCTCCCCAGCCCCTCCATTTTTTTTTCTTTACCTTTTGTTTTTTTTTAAGTCATGGGTCTTGAACTCTGCGCCTGGGTGCTGTCCCTGAGTTGTTCAGCTTAAGGCAAGTGCTCTATCACTTGAGCCATAGCACCACTACCTTTTTTTTTTTTTTTGTCAGTCATGGGGCCTGAACTCTAGACCTGGGTGCTGTCCCTGAGCTCTTCAGCTCCAGGCAAGCTCTCTACCATTTGAGCCACAGCGCCACTTCTGGTTTCTGGTGGTTTATTGGAGGTAAGAATCTCACGGACTTGGGCTGGGAAGGTGGCTCAGTGGTAGAGCGCTTGCCTTGCATGCATGAGGCCCTGGGTTTGATTCCCCAGCACCACATAAGCAAAATGAAAAAAGCCGGAAGTGGCACTGTGGCTCAAGTGGTAGAGTGCTAGCCTTGAGCTGAAGAGCTGAGGGACAGCGCCCAGGCCGAGTTCAGGCCCCATGACCGTACCCAAAAGAAAAAAGAATCTCACGGACTTTTCCTGTCTGGGCTGGTGTGGAACCGCGATCATCATATCTCAGCCTTCTGAGTAGCTAAGATTGCAGAGGTGAGCCACCAGTGCCTTGACTGTCCTTTTTTTTTTGTACTGGGGATTGAACTTATGACCTTGCATTTGTTAGGCAAGGGTTTGCCACTGAGCTACATCCTAGCCTTAATTATATTAATTTTAAGTAATAACTCTGTAACTTCTGTTTTGTTTTCTCTCTACTTTCTCCTGGATGTTGACAATTCAGTACGTTTTCTTCTAGACATTTTCTCAAAGTAGTTAATCATAAATCTACTTCTCTTGGTAGGGCTTCCATGTTTCTAGCAAGTGACCCATACATAGCATGTGTGCTGTAAATATCAATTAAATAGGTATGATATTTTGAGAATGGTTATGCTTGTTTTGTAAGTCAGAAAAATTATGTTCCGAAGCTGGGGATGTAACTCAGTTGTAGAGACTCTGCTTAGGATATGTGAGAGCCTAGGTTTAGTCCCCAGCACCAAAAAACAAAAACCAGAAAGGCTAAGTCCCTTCTCTTCTATTTTTCACATACAGACCAAATAGTGATGGGATCAGCATGCCTCGACTCATTATCAGTCAGCTGAAATGGCTTGACAGAATTGTGGATGGCCAGGTAGGCTTGGGGGCTATTACTTCCATGTCAAATGTTTGGAATTTACAAAAGTTTTTTTTTTTTTAAACAGAAAATTGCAGCTTTCCATTTGTCTATTAGTTGTTTTTTTCTCCCAGCTTTTGTCATTTGAGAATCATGAGTATTTCATCTTTAAATTTCTTCAAAAAATAAACTTAACATCATGCATGATGGTGCATACCTATAAACTCAGCACCTGGAACACTGAGACAGGAGCATCAGAAGGCCAAAGTCACTCTGTCTCTTTTAAACAAAAACAACAATTGGTGGCTCACACCTATAATCCTAGCTACTCAGGTGGCTGAGATCTGAGGATCATAGTTCAGAGCCAGCCTGGGCACACATCTCCAATTAACCACTCAAAAACTGGAAGTAGAGCTGTGGTTCAAAGTGGTAGAGTGCTAGGCTTAAGCAAAAGATCTCAGGGACTGTGCCCTAGCCATGAGTTCAAGCCTCATGACCAACAAAAAGAAAAAAAAAGAAAAAGAGAAGCTTACTCAATAACATAAAGTTACTTTATAACATAAAGGTATTTACAGTATACATTTTTTATATAAAATAACAATATACACATAATTTAACATATTGCTATTTTATATAAAATAACAAAATACCTATAATTTAAAATATAAATAATAAAAACTAAATATTATTTGCTTTCAAAATATAGAGATTATTATTTCTCAAAAGTAGTCAGATCCCAACTGTCTTACTTCACTGCAAGTGTTTTTTTTTTGTTTGTTTTTTGCTTTTTTTTTTTGTCTGTCATAGGGCTTGAACTCTCGGCCTGGGCGCTGTCCTTCAGCTCAAGGCTAGCACTCTACCACTTGAGCCACAGTGCCACTTCTGGTTTTCTGGTGGTTTATTGGAGATAAGAGTTTCACAGACTTTCTTGCCCAGGCTGGCTTTGAACCGTGATCCTCAGATCTCAGCCTCCTGAGTAGCTAGGATTACAGGTGTGAGCCACCGGCGCCCTGCGCAAGGGTTTTAATTTAATTGCATATGAAGGAAAATTATAGGAAGTTTTGCAGTTATGAATTCATTACTTAAGCCCCTTGGTAAGTTGAATCTATTTGAACCAAGTACTTGAGGTCTTCTTTTCAGTTATTCTTTTTTTTTTTTTTTTTACCAGTCCTGGGACTTGAATTCAGGGATTAGGCACTGTCCCTTAGCTTTTGCTCAAGGCTAGCACTCTACCCCTTGAGCCACAGCACCACTTCCAACTTTTTTCTATTTATGGGGTCCTGAGGAATTGAACCTAGGGCTTCATGCACACTAGGTAATCACTCTATCACTAAACCACATTCCCAGCCCTTTTCAGTTGTTCTTAAAACCATTCTTTTAATTTTAGTAGAAATTCCAAGTTGAATGTTGGAAAGAACTTGAGTTTTGGTCTTATCTGGGCTGGGATGTGCCACTTAGCTATAGATCCTGAGTAACTGGTATTCCCACATTTTGAAGATGGGGATAGCCAAGCTCCATAGTTGTGAAGACTAATGAAATAATGTATATAGCACAAGTATTAGATAATGAGCCATCTATCCTATTATTTATATATGCTTGTTTAGATTTTTTTTTGTGCCACTTGTCTCTTAAGTTTAGAACTTGCTGTCATCATATTGTATGTATGAAAATTTCAGCTCTGAGTAGCTATTTGGCCATTTCTCATAATGTCTTTCATCACAGGACCTCACCATGAAAATCATGCAGCTGATTAGCATTGCTCCAGTCCCTCTACAACAGGACTTTGTCACCAGCCTTCCTGAGATCTTGGGGGATGCCCAGCATGCTGATGTAGCGAATGAACTCAGGTGAGTAAGCACTGATGTGTTATCTCAGTGAAGTGTCAACAAGGCAGCTTTTGCAGTGTGGTGTGAAGTGGTGATGTGGTCCTTCCTGTATAAAAAGACTCTGGTATGCCTACCTCCTTTTCATAGTTAGGGAATGAGATTTAATTTTTTTTTTTTTTTTT